AGGTTCTCCACATGTCCATCTATGCTGTTGAAAAAAGCAGGATTTCCTTCACTGTCATAGTTGAAATAATATTCTGCTATATGGATATACCACAAGTTCTTTACCAATTCACCTGTGGAGGATCACTTTTGTGAGTGTGTATCTTAAACTGCCACAACTACGGAAAATTGAAATGAAAGCAAGCATTATTTCTAAACCCAAAGACACATATTCTGTACAATCTCCTTGTCACGGGTGTATGACCTATTTCTTGGAAGGGGTACACAGACAATAGTGATTTAGTGACTCTGCTTAACAATAACAGACAATAACTAAGCTCTATTAATCTCACCTGCTTTCCTGGACAGGAAAACTGTTGCAGATCTCACATGGGGATATTTCTCCAGGGTCCCCCATAACAGATTATTGTAAGGATTAATTGGGATAATGAATGTAGTGTCTGACCCCTAAAAACCATTCACTAAGTGATAGCTATTATTATCCTGTCAACAAACCTAATTGACTCCACCTCTGAAATCTCAGACATCTCCTCATTTAACTTATTATCCCCACTTGTCCTTGATATCATCTGAACTATCAGATAATATCCTTGCTTTCCTCCTGTTTCTCTTTAAATTCTAATCACAGCTTATGTTTTATAGATACTCCCTTCATTCACTGAACCAATCTACCGAGTGCCTGACACTCCTGAGACAGTGAAACTCAGAGCCAATTTGACTGAGAAGGAGAAAACGAGGAGAAAGATTTAAAATTACCATCCAGCCATACTGGAAAAATATTCATTGTACTGGCATGGTTTATGCAGAATGGAAAGAGGGCAATTCATATCAAAAATGAGCTTCCCTCTCAACTTTAAAAAGATGCCCTTTCCTGGTTTGATGAAACATTGAGTCATTCTCTCTTTGGCAATATTTTCATGGGTCATTGAGTTTGCAGTTCAGAGTCTAGTTTTGAGGCTAGCGATGACATCTGCTTGAGTATTCTAGCAATTAATTGATGCTTTACACAACATTTCCTTCCAAGTAAGATTTTTTAAGGCCTAGTAGGAAATCCTGGGTGGTCTATTGTGTTTGGATCAGGGGTAATATAGCTTTTCAACGTGCATGCATTTGGTTTATTAAATGTTGTGTAAATGTTGAGTGCCAAGATTCATTGCTGGTGTATTTTTCTGTGTCCATTAAGGGCACAGAATGTTTCTTTCCTCAGTGAGATAAAGTAATGGTAGGCCTTCAAGGAACCATCATTCCTTTAGACCCAATTCCTTCCCTCTGGCCAGCTTACTAACAGCTTTTCCAAGAATTTAATGATTAACAGCTGCCAATCCAGGCTCTTCCCAGACCCATTCTTAAGTAATTCACAGGTCTTCCTCATTCCTCATTTGAGTCACACCATGGTCTCTGCTATGCTGTGTTTCAACCTTTATCTTCTCTTGAATTTATGATCATAAATTTTGAAAATCATGTCATCAAGAATTTCAGTACATTCCTCTATACCAAACAAGCAGTTAGCTCTGTGGTTAAGAACACAGTCTCTGGAGCCAGAATGTCAAATCATTATTATGCTACTTTCTAGCTATAATATCTCGGGCAGTATAACTTTTTTGTCTCTTGATTTCTTCATTTTGAAAATAGAATGGGGAAATAGGTTTAGTTTAAAAACGAAATAGTTAACAGAAGAGAAACATTTAAAAGAGTTCTTGGCATACTCAGTACCAGGTCAGTGCTAACTCTTATCATTATTATCCAAAGGATGTGGATCACGATGGCTGTAGACTCTGGTGAATACAGGAGGAGAATTTTTTATTAATTGAAAACTTATAAATGAACATTTTTACTAGGCATATCCAAGCTAACTTTCACAAACTAAATGGTGGCAGCAGGGCTATTCTAGAGAGAAACTTTAAATTTCTTCCATCACAAAGAGGGCCCTGCTCCAATTTTAAATTAAATATTAGGGAAATAAGATATGAGGTGCCGGGTATAGAAAGCGAGAAAATAGCTCACCATCACTTGAGGGCAGCAATCTGAGCAGGTTTGCCACTGATTCTTCTGCAAATAGAGGATTCAACTCCCTCTAATTTGGAAGGACAGGCTATTATATTGGGCAGGATGTGTGCCAAGCCAACTTGCAGCTGGTTGATTTTTCTGTCATCCACTCCACATATTGCTGTCTTCTCCTGTGCACCATGGAATGGTCCTGTAACTATGGCAACAGGATTGCTTCCCCCTACTCAGCATGACCCCTGCAGCTGATGTGAGAAAAGACTGGGACAACTTTCCTTTAAAAAAAAAAGAAAAGTGACTTCTTTGTTCTTCCTGACCCAGGGATCAAACCCGGGTCGCCTGCATTGCAGCCAGATTCTTTACCGTCTGACCCATGAGGGTAGCCCAGGTAATAGGCACTGAAGATTAATGAAGTTCTCTTCAGTATATAATATAATATTCAGTACATTGTATACTCCTATAGAAACAAGGTATAGAGCTCCAAAAGTACAAAGAAGAAGCTAATCTAGTTGGCCTATTAACTCACTCTCTCCCCCAAAGTGTAACCATCTGGAAGCCATACCTAGTTGTTGCATCATCTGATCTCAGAAACGAAATTATGGAAGACTTCAAAACCTGCTTGCTAGTTTGAGTCCACCATGGCCAAGTCAGGAGATGTCTTAGTAATTTGTGCCTGTTTTTAGTCTAGTTCTACTATGCTCTCATCCATATCGCCCACTTCTTATGCCTCTATTATCTGTTTTACTAAATAAAACTTGAGCATCACCAATATATTAATTATGCCAGTAGTGGTCCCAACTTAGCTGTGTACCATAACACAAGGGAAACTTTATAAATTAGATTATAAGATGCATTACAGACCTGTGTCAATATTCAAGGCTAGGATTCAGCAAGTGTGTGCATTTAACAAACATCCCAGGTGATTTCTATACAGCCATTCTAAGAACTGGTTTGGGGAACAACCACCTTAAGAAACTATAGGCCAAACCAAAATTTTTAATTAGGAGAAAATAACTCTACTACCAACCATCTTAAAAAGAATACGAAGAAAACAAATAGTAACTTCAGTTTTCAAATAGTTCACTGATTACCCAGAAAAAAAAAAAAACAAATACTAGACTCTATTTTGTTCATAGTCACCAGGTTATGGCTGGCTTTTATGACTTCTCTACCAGTCTAACGCTTTTGCATTCTTCTCCTGGGAGGATGAAGTTCACTTTTGTTACCCCATTGTTATCATTTCTATTTTGCCATTTCAGACGCAGAGGCTGAATTTAAGATCATATCACTGGTAAATATGAAGACGGACTAGGAACCAAATCACTGCCTCTCGTACCAGACCCAGAACCAACTCTGTCATTTGGACATGCAGATGTACCTAAGGGAATCCACGCACAAAACCTCCAGGAATACAGTCAGAGCTCTAAGATACCTTTGTCAAACAAGGTCTGACGACATATGTCACTTCTAGTTGGCCCCCATGTATCAAGCATGAGAAGACTATTTAGGAGTCACTCTTGGGTCCAAATCAAGTGAAGGACAAGAGAAATTCAGATTTGGCAGACTTTGGGGGCGATTTTAGGAATATACCAAAAATGTCCTCAAAAGGGGAGTACAGTACCTTTTCTGTGGAATATCTTTAACTTTGGCAAGATCAGAAGTGTTATCGGCCCCCGTGTATCAATGAACTCTGTGACGTCATGGATTCCTCCCAGTTGAGGTCCAGAGCTAATTACTATGCCAAAATCAATGGATCAGTAATCTTTAAGATTGGCTGTTAGTCATGCAAATTTCAATCAACTTTGTTAGAGAACAGCTGTGAGTCAGGTAGCTTTTCAAATCTGGTTTTAATGATGGTGAAACACAAGCTGATTGGCATTTGGGCAAGGGATGCTTTATTTTATTTACTTCAAATTGGAACTCATGATCCCAGTAAGTTTAAATGAACCTTAAAGTTTCCCTGAACCATGGGAAGACTCATATGGAGAAATTTTGTATACATCTCTGTAAATGGGCAGATTCCTCTGTAAATGTGACTGAAGCTCCCAGGGTGGAAACATGAAGAGAGGTGTCCAGAGAGGAGGCATGTGTGAATTTTGTGGGTGAGACTTGGGGGTTAGTTCCAGGTACTAAGCTCCACTGTGGGAGCGCAGACTTCTTTTCCAGATGCTAAGGCTGTTGTGAATTTCTAGGATAACTGGTCCCTAAACATAGGGCATTGAAGGCAAAAGGAGAAAAGGGCAGCGGAGGATAAGACTGTTGGAGAGCATCACCGATTCAATGGACATGAACTTGGGCAAACTCCGGATAGATAGTGAGGGACAGGGAGGCCTTGCCTGCTGCAGTCCATGGGATGCAAAGAGTAAGACACGACTTAGCAACTGAATAACAACAAAACATAGAACATAAATGCCCTTCTCTCTAAAATAAAGAGTAATGTTTTAATTACTCTTTAATTACTCGTGTCCAACTCTTTGCGACCCCGTGGACTGTAGGCCGCCAGACTCCTCCGTTCATGGGATTCTCCAGGCAAGAATACTGGAGTGGGTTGACGTTCCTTTCTCCAGGGGGTCTTCCGGGCCCAGGGATGGAACCAGGTCTCGGGCATTGTGGGCAGATTCTTTACAGCCTGAACCATCAGGGAAGCCCCTCTAAGATAAAGGCCTTCTCTAAGTCAAAGCCACGACTTTGCCCAGGGTAAAGTCATCTGTTGGGAAGCTGAAAGCCTGAGCCATCTGGCGGGGTTTCCGTTAACCTTCCCATCCCCACAGGTAGGCTTTTTGCTTTGGAAGATTCCCTCAAGGAGACCAAGCGTCTGGGGATTTCTTTTATTCCCGGAAAGACGGAAAAGGACCCTTCCCTAGAGAGGGTCAGCCCCGATGCTTTCTCAGTATCTGCAGATGGTTGTGAGGGCAGGAGGCGGCTAATCGTCTTCGTCATTGCATCCGAGGTCGGCCGCGTCTTCCTCGCCTTCCCTGCCGGCCGCCGAGGGCGCCCTCACTCGTCATCGGAGGACGGGGTGGTGGGCTCCTTCTTGCAGCTGTGGTGCCTGGCTCGGTGCCGGCGGAGGTGGTTGGACCTGGTGAAGGCCTGGCCGCAGTCGGCGCACTGGTAGGGCCTCTCGCCGTTGTGCACCCGAATGTGCTGGGCCAGCTCCGAGGCCACGCGGAAGGCCCGGCCGCACTCGGCGCAGAGGAAGCCCTTCTCCCCGGAGTGGATCTGTTGGTGCCGCTTCAGGGTGGAGGAGCGCGCGAAGGCCTGGCCACACTGTGTGCAAGGGAAGGGCCGCTCGCCGGTGTGGATTCGCTGGTGGCGCGCCAGGCGCGAGGGCTGCGCGAAGGCCACGCCGCAGTCGGCGCACTTGAAGGGCCTCTGGCCGCTGTGCAGCGTCTGGTGCTCCAGCAGGTTGGAGGATTTGGTGAAGCACTTGCCGCAGGTGGGGCAGGGGAAGGGCCGCTCGCCCGAGTGCACGCGCTGGTGCTCCATCATCCGGCTGGCCACGGCGAACTCCCGGTCGCATGTGGGGCAGCGGAAGGGCTTCTCGCCCAGGTGCGTGCGCTGGTGGCGCAGCAGCGACAGCGGCTTGTTGAAGGTCAGGCCGCACTCGGCGCATGGGAAGGGCTTGTCGTTGCTGTGCATGTTGCGCTGGTGTTTGCGCAGGTCTGAGGAGCGCACGAAGGCCTTCCCGCAGTCCGGGCACGGGTAGGGTTTCTCGCCCGTGTGCGTGCGGATGTGCTTGCGGTGATCGGAGGACCAGGTGTAGGTCTTGTCGCAGAAGGGGCACCGGTAGGGCCGCTCGCCCGTGTGCAGGCGCTGGTGCTGCTGGAGCGTGGCCCGGTGGGAGTAAGCCTTCCCGCACAGCTCGCACGCGTAAGGCTTGGCGCCCGGCGACTTCTGGACCGCCCGCCCGCCCCGCAGGCACTTGTAGGGACAGGCCTGCCCCTGCCTGCCCTCCCCAGAGGTCCCCGGATTCGGGTCCTTAGAGCCCTTCCGCCCTTTGGCCAGATCCTCTTCTGCTGCCAGGCGGGCCTTGGTAGCCGATTCCCGAGCTGGTGTGTGTGTCTCTTGCGTGGAGAGGTCCCAGCTGCCCCCTGATTGGGGGACACACACCCCCGGAGAGGAGCTGTCTGGGGACTTGTCTCTATCCTTCTGTGCACGGAAGTACCTTGCAGAATAGGGGAAGTCGGATGGGATGCCCGGGGTGGCTTCTGGGTTTGCCCTTGAGTCTCCCTCATCACCAGCAGACAATGAGGCCCTAGGAGATTGGGTCTCACCGAACCACCTGCGAGAGAGGCCCCTGGGGAGGGCACTGGGAGTCATGCTTGCTCTGGAGGAGGCCTGGGTCGGGGTGATCTTTGATGCCTCCCTTTCCCAGCTGGTCTTCTTCCCTGGCAGTGCCATGGGTTTCTTCCCGACACATGCGGCACTAAAGGAGTCAGAGAATTTCTCTTCCTTCCTGCGGGCTGGATGCTGCCAGAGCAAGTCAGGACTGTCCTCGGTCACTTGGGAACTGCCCCTTGGTTGGGCCTGCTGGCCAGGGTCACCAGCGGCCCGTTGGTCTCCTGCCTTTCCAGGGGCCTCATCCTCACTCTCCAAGCTGATGCTCAGCGTCCCGGGGTCATAAGCCTCCCCAGTCAAGCTGCAGAGGGGAGATGCATCTCCACACCCATCCTGAGGGTCCCCCTGCGCCATTATGTGCAGGCCCTTCTACGCCTGCTTCTCCAAGACAGACCTTCACTTTGCTCAGGAGACCTGCAAAAAGGAAGATCGCAAAGAACAGACTTAGTCACCTTCACGGCCACAGGGATTGAGTTCTCACTACGGGTCTGTGTGCCGCTGGTAGCCGCACCAGCCACATTGGTGGTCCCTCACAGGTGAAGGAGGACCTGGGCCTTGGTGAAAACTCCCCAGTCACGCTTAATCCTTTGGAGGTCCCCCTTGCCAGAAACCCCAGGAGACAGTGCCGTCGGGATGGCCAGTGTGAGCATTTGCTCAGTAGCATCTGTGCTCTGTCCCACCCCGGGACTCAAACACCAACTGCTAGCCAGGTGGGTTCTCTGTGAGCTGAGGAAGAATAGATGAGAGGGCAGAAAGCAAGGTCTGGTTGTCCTTGGACCTCTTAAACTGTCGGCCCAGCCGGGAAGCTGAAAGTCAAGCTGGCTTTTGCCATTCCTGCCAAGAGAGCAAGCCTGCTATGTTTTGATGGTGGCAGCGAGGCTGCCTCCCAGGCACTGGGCTGTGTGGGCCACCTCTTCCAAGGACATGGACCAGCTCCTGGGAGCATGGGGATGAATCAGGAAGACACTACGGTGTTCCCAAGAAGAAACCCAGCTGCCCCTCCCTGCTTAAGTGGGGCTTCTCAGGCCTCTGAGGCATAGCACCCCTTGCTGATTGGGCAGTGTAAAATACATGCAACCAGGGAGAGAGGGATGCCCACTGAAAGCTTGAACTACCCCTGAGATATTGCTTCATCTTAAACATTCATGGGAATGTACATTCCATGTCCTGTTTGTTTTAACATGAAAAGAGTGTTTTAAGTTACCTTCGGTTTAAATGTTTTAACTTTTCCCCAGTGTGTTATATTTAGCCTGTGGCCTCATGGATTCCTGGCATGCCCCCATATACTCCCAGGGGTGCCTATACCCCAACTTGAAAAGTGTGGACTTAGGGTTTTGACAGCAAGGCACGACAAGGGAGCCTTTGAGTTGCATTTTCTGATTGATTTTATTTTAACTTGAAGACAGAGAGACCTGTTGGGGTTGGCTAATAAGGATTGTTTGTGTGAGTTTTACAGGGGTTGCCTGCATGAGAGGCAGGCTACTGAGGGTCTCTGTGGGGCTGGGGGATAGGGAGGGAGTGGGAGGAGCAATTTCTAACCCAAAGGCTGAGTTTGATCTGGAGGGAACCTTCTGAGAATCCCAGAGATCACTAGTACTAGCAGTTCCATTTTCTGGGCAAATGTTACGAGCCAGACAATGTGCTGAGTACTTCACAAGCATGACTTTCTTTATTCCTCCCAGCAACCTTTAAGACAGACTCTATTACTGTTAGAGCAACCTTTTCATTTTACAGACCAGAAAACTGAGGCTTCAAGAGATTACTCACTTGCCCAAGGTCACACAACTCATAGGCAGCAGCCCTGGGGTTTCTGCCTTCAAGGAGCTGTCCTGGCTCCCAGATGTGGCCTCCTCACGGAGGCCCTTCCTGGAGGCTGAGCCCTGCCCAAGAATGGCCACAGCATCCTAGGGGGAGAGCCACTGCTTTCTGAGGCATCAAAGCCCCTTATGTTTGCTGGGCCAAGGCACCTTGGCTACGGGCTACAGGGCCTCGATGCTGGGCTCCTCCCTGCCCCTGTTGACCCAAATTGCCCTCAGCGGAGAGAGAGGCCAGATTGCATGCTGCAGAGACTGTTGCCCGGGGCGGTCAGGAGTATGAGTCACGGAGTGTTTACTTTCTGAAAGCTGCTGCGCTTCTCCTCCGCCCACCTTCCACCACCTCTCAGAGGGCTACCAGGAGCGCTTCTGCACTCCTTTTCAGGGCAGAGGTGTTCCATCCTTCCTCAGCAAGACACATTCATTCATTCGACAAATGTGGAGCAAATGGTTAAAATCGTATGCCTGTGTCAACAAACATCTCTGAGCCTGGTCCTCTTCATCTGCAGGATGGAGATACTGCCCCTACTGTATAGTCTGTGGGATGCTCCTGCACACACACGGCTGGCACTCACTGACTGGGGCATTGTTGCTCGAGCGGCTCACTCCTCTGGGAGGTGTCCAGGTGGACGATCCTCGCAGTGTGGTGCTCGAGGTTCAGACAGTAAGGTCACGTCCTGATTTATTAGCCCCTGTGCTGTCAAGCTGCCCTTCTCCCAGCTCTTGCCTGATCGTAAGCCCAGGTACTGTGAATGTGTGTGGAGGGGCAGCGAAGGGGAGGAATCCTCACTCTCTCCTTGGACACAGAAGCCATAAATGAAGGGCGGACACGGTGCAGTGATGACAGGGGTCCAGCCTCTCCTGTCCCTTTGTGCCTGAAGCCCAGAGGTCACTCCCTGCCTCTGACCATCCTGCTCTGTCCCTGTAATGTGTTAGAGTTGAGCTGACATACCTCTTGGTGGGAAACCAGGTTGGATGTATTTTCAGTGGTTCTTAGAGAGTGGCTGTGCCTGTGTGTGTGTGTGTGTGTGTGTGTGTGTGTGTGTGTGTGTAGAGGGACACAGCCCTGGCCAGCGTGCTTTGGCTTCCTGAGGCCAGCATGCCTTCAGGACTGCGATCCACCAGTCAGACGGCAGGGGTTGCTGGATTTGAGTGAAGCAGATTCTTACTTTCTCTGGGACAGTGTGCCATGCAGCTTCATGGGGAGCGTTTCACAGACCACTTATCCCACCCACTCCCTACCCCACCTCTGGCACATGTTGCCCCTTCTGCACAACACACGTCTCATCCCCGTCCTCCGGAACAGAGGTGAGCCTCCTCAGCCTCCCAGCCCTCTGCTAGCTCACCGCTTACGGGGGGCTGCTTTCCAGATGGGAAAGCCCTCCCCTATCTGCAGCCACATCCCCTGCTTGCTTCTTCCTGCAGCGGCCAAAGGCGCTCTCCTGACCACCAAGAAGACCGAGAGGAAGGCAGGGGCTCAGGCGGGGGTTTTCTGGCCAGGTTGATACGAATATTCCCAGTCTGGAAGAGGAACACTGATGCCACAGTGCGGCTAGCCCCTCTGCTTTCCAGATGTGCTGGCCCCAGAGGATGGCAGTGCACCATCCCTTCCTGGACCTTCCCCCACATTTGCTGTCCAGGTGCAGCTCCGGCACACCCAATTCACCTGTGGATGGGGTGCGTTGCAGAAACCTGGCCTCACGGCTTGTTCCAGCTCCTGGCCCCGGCCCCCTCTTTCCTTGCATAGATGGTACCCAGTCCACTCCAGGGCAGCCACCTCCCGTCTTCTCCCCTGCCCACCAGCTTCAGACCTGGCTCAATTCTGGCTCACACATGAACACTCACTTACCTGGGCAATGCAGACAGCCAAGGAGGCCCCCAACCCGGCTTCTCTGCCCCGTGTGGCTTCTTGGCAACAGGGAGCAGAGCTGGGTACAAATCAGCAGAGACGGTGTCTCTGTCCCTCACACTTTTGTGTCCAGTTCAGCAGCTGCGAAGAGAGCTTCAGGAGGTGGGGCTGGTGTAAGACACTCAGCCTTCCTGCCTGCAGCCCAGAGGGCAGCCTGGGAAGTCCAAGGGGGCTGCCCCGTCTCACAGCCTGAACCAATTCCCGCTGCTCCCTCTGAGCCCGCCTCCCCTCCAGTCTTCCTCCCTCTCTCCTTTCCTCCCGCCCTCAGGAAGGTTACTCAATCCTGTTGCAGGTAGCCCTGTCCCTCCTGCTCACTTTCACCCCTTCTTCCAGTAGAGCAAGCACTCCATTCTTCCATCCTGCCCCGATATGTCCTTGAGCCTCTGGTTGCACTGTGAGCTTCATGAGGAAGCTCATGTTTTTTCTTCCTGGGAGACAGGACCGGGTATTTGGTCTGTACCCCTACCTCCCCCATTCTAGTGCCCACCTTTTGCAGCATGGTGGTTTGAGGGGTATTTCCAGAATGTTTTGCAGTTATCATTGGCTCAGAGATGCCCGTGACCATTTAGCTAGGGGTGGGGTACAGGAAGATAATTTTCTTTCATAATTCATGCACAAACCAGGCCTGTCTCACCATCTTTCAGCATTGCTGCCCAGGCAGGTTCATTTTGAAGAGAAAATTGGCTCAGGATTTAGACTCAGTATGTCTAGAATTGGTACCCACTCAAGTCTAGGGTGCCTTTATTAGGGTGAATGCTCAGGACACTAAAATAGGGGATAGAATGTGATGTCCCCAGGTGGCCAAAAATATACTTAGGATTCTGGTGCATTGGAACCTTAACTCACAACCTGTGTGACCTTGGACAAGTTACTTGACCTCCATGTGCCTTAGCTTCATATCTGTAAAATGGGGGTCCCCTCATCACAGGGGTCTTGGGAAGGTTAAATGAGATCATGCACATAAAGAGCTTAGCTCCGTATCTGGAACATAGGTTAAGTGCCCAGAAAAGCCAGCTGCCCTCCTTGTTATTATTGATATTCTTGTTTCTAGGGAACAGGTAGCTCATGGGACTCCTTTTATATGTCTAGGGCCTTGAGAGTGATAGTGACACCTGACACATTTTTCTGAACAGTAAACTTCAGAATGTGATGGAGAGAAGTAGGTCCCTCTGCCCCTTGGAGTATTGCAGGGGTAGCCTCAGAAGGGGAAGTCAGGCAGCAGGGAAGCCTCTAAGTCTTTGAGCCTGCAAGTCTGGAACAAGGCTTCCAATCCGCACATCCCTGAAGTAAAGTGCAGAATGCTACAGATATGTGGATATACACTGTTTGGGCAAAAGGACCCATTTCTCAAAGGGGTTGTGGTCCAAAAGAGGATGAGAACCATTGGTGTTGAGGGGAGAAGGGGTGGGATAGGAAGAGTTGATGCTTAAAATATCTCCCATAGCAACTTGTCGGATGGCGTTGCCACCAACCCACACCCCAGCACTGTTGTTCAAAAGTTCCCAAGCGACCCTATCATATGGGTTGCTCTTCAGGTCCCTTTGGCAGAAAAGTGACTAGATTCCTCGAGGGGCCGGCGGAGGTCAAAGCCGGAGCTGGGGAGGGGGTGCGTGTGTTCCTCCCTCCCAGTG